ATTGTTGGGTTTTATTTTGTTTGTTTTTGTTTTGTTTGTTTTTATTTATTTTTTATTTTTTTGGGTGGGTGGGGGAGGGGCGTGTAGGTTGGGTTAGTTAATGTTTTGTCTGTGGGTTTTATTTATTGATTTTAGTTTTTATTTATTTATTTTGGTTTTGTTTTTGTTTTTGGTGTTGATCAGGTTAGTTTTAATGTTTGTTTGCTTGTTTGTTTTATAAATGGTTTTGTTTTATGGGTAGTAAGGTCATCCTTTTCAGATGTTTATATTCAGAGTACAAGTTAAGAGATAAGTATATATTTTCTTTCTTTATTTTGAGTTTTATAGACTAAGACTACTCCCTAAAACGAGGATGATATATAAATTTCTAATTCAGAATCACTCCCTCAAAAGCCGAAAAGTACCAGCAAAAAACATTAAACAAATCACACAATTATCCCATTGATTATTAACCGTATGAACGAAACCAATCACCATCTCTTTAAGAAAAATCCTAAATAAATCCCCTTCTCCTTCTTTTTTCTCCCTCCCCTCCCCTCTTCCCCCCCCCTCCAAACCACTCTTACAGGTCGCCTACCCACGGACCAACGAACTGTACGTGTTCAACCGCCACGGACACCACGTGGAGACTCGGGACCTCGTGACCGGAAGGACGCTTTATTCCTTCCTTTACTCGAAGAACACTTCCTTCGGTCGTCTTTCCAAGGTCACGGACTCGTCGGGTAACAAGGTCATGTTCCTGAGAGACTACACTTCCGCCGTTAGCCAGGTGAGAGGGGGGGGGGCGGGGCGAAGGGGGCGGGGAGGGGCGGGGCGGAGCGAAGGGGGCGGGGCGGAGGTAGGAGGGGGCGGGAAGGGGCGGGGCATGGCGGGGCGGAGGTAGGAGGGGAGGGTAAGGGGTCAAGTTAAGGAAGGTTAGCCCAATGTCAGCGGGTGGCAAGACGACAATGCCATGTCCATTGTAATAAGAAGTTTATCTATTGTTTTTACGTATAGATGTCTCTACAAGTCACCAAGGAGTCAGCTATTAGTCTTATCTATCTCATCTGTTTACCCCTTTCCTTCATTTTTTGAAAGCTTCACTTCTGTTATTCTATTTTCTTTGACATTATTAACATTTCCATAACAATTTATTAATCATAATATCAATAAGAATGATAATGTCAATATTAGTAGTATTGGAAAGAAAAACGCATTTTCCCGCCAATTCAAGGAATGGGGAAATCAGGATCGGTCACTAGGGCCATCTGATAGACTCCTTGCTACTGAGCACATGTGGAGCCATCTGTATGTAACGAAACTCACTAAAATCTAAAGGGGACAGTAAATGAAGCCGCTGACTTTCGGTTAAGGAACCAAGAACAGCGCCTTATCTCCCCCTTATCTCTGCTGTAGATCGAGAACCGTTTCTTATCTTTCTTATCGCTTTTTATCGCCCTCTTATCCACTCCCCAGACCAAGAACAGGCCCTTATCTCCGCCTTATCTCTGCTCTAGATCGAGGACCGTTTCTTATCTCTCTTATCGCCCACTTATCTGCTCCCCAGACGAAGAACAACGCCTTATCTCCCCCTTATCTCTGCTTCAGATCGAGAACCGTTTCTTACCTCTCTTATCGCCCTCTTATCTACTCCCCGGACCAAGAGCAGCGCCTTATCTTCCCCTTATCGCCCCTTATCTGCTCCCCAGACCAAGAGCAGCGCCTTATCTCCCCCTTATCGCCTCTTATCTGCTCCCCAGACCAAGATCAGCGCCTTATCTCCCCCTTATCTCTGCTTCAGATCGAGAACACGATGGGAGAGAAGTTCGCCTTCCGCATCAGCCGCCTGGGCCTTATGACGAGGTTCTCTGAGCGCCCTGGGAGGTTCTACGAGTTCACGTACGACGAGGACACTGGTCTCCTGGTCGCCTCCTCTTCGCCAGGTGAGGGAATTTGTCTTTGTTTTCTTGTTATCTCTTCCCTTTTTTTTGTTTTGCTTTGTTTTATTATGTTTTCTTTTTTGTTGTTGTTGTTTTTGTTATTTGATTTGCTTTCAATGATGAAATTGTTTGTTTTATGCCTATCACCTTTTCATTTCTTTTATTCTATTTGTAATTTTTTTATTATTTTTCTTCTTTTTCTTTTCTTCCTTTCTTAATATTCTATACTTTTATATTTTATTATCCATTTCCCCTTTTTTCACCTTCTACTTTATCTCCTCTTCCTTCTTCTTCTTCTTCTTCTTTCAAACAGTAAATAATTATCACAAAGCTATGTGTGGATTACAACCTCAATACGCCCGTTTCCCACACAGGCCGTCTAACGTATGTCTATGAGTATGACGAAACCGGGCGCTTGGTTACCGTCGTAGCGCCCACGGGTACGCGTGTGGGCGTAGACTCGTGGATGGGCGGCGAGGACACCCAGCGCAGCCTCAGTGTGGGCGTGGGAGGCAGTCAGGGAGAAAAGAACGCCCACATTCTCACCCTTACTGGCAACGCCCGTGCTGTCTTCACCCAGA